AGAGAGAGAGAGAGAGAGAGAGAGAGAGAGAGAGAGAGAGAAAGAGAGTCAATCCCATAGAAGCAGAGGTTGTCTGAGAGGCTGGTCAACTGGTCAAACGTTAGATAGGAGGAGTTGGTTCTGGTGACAGCAGCTGGAACAATTACTGACATACACTTAAGCAGCTGGAAGACAGGATTTCGAATATTCTAACTATAAAGAGATGCTCAGTGTTTGAGGTGAAAGAAATGTGGATACCAATCTGATTACTGCACATGTGCACATGTACCAAAACAACACCGTGCTCCCAAAATAGGTGCCATTCTTATTTGTCAGGTAAAAAAAAAAAATAAAAAAAAAAAAATTTAAAAACTTAAAAGAAAAATTTAAAACCACAAGCCCAACAAACAAGGGATGGGAATAGCACTTACCTGCTAGAAATCTCAAAATCAAATGCTTTTGTAAACTTACTTTCGTATTTATCCTTCCCCATGTAAATAGTGTAAGTAGATGAATTAACTAAGACAAAACAAAAATAAAAAGGCAGTTAGTTAACATCACCAAAAAACTGTTTCACAGGAAAAACAAATGGTAAATGCTAGGATTACCATGGCACATAGGCCAAACCCGGCATACCTGTTCTTATGAAGACAGCCTTCAAGTTAAGAATAACTTTACATTTTTAAATGACTTGGGTAATAGAAAAACAAAGATTAAGGCATAGACAGTGCATATGTCTCACCGAACCAAATATCATCTGGCCACAAAAGAAATTTACTTTTTTTTTTTTTTTGAGACGGGGTCTCCCTGTATCCCTGTAGCCCCAGCTGTCCTGGAACTCACTATGTAGACCAAGCTGGCCTTGAACTCACAAAGATCCGCCTACCTCTGCCTCCCAAGTGCTGGGATTAAAGGTGTGCGCCATGTCCGGAAAGAAATTTACTTATTAAAATGGCTGCTTTCCTTCTTTCTTGGGGACATAATTCTTTTTTATTTATTTTTATTCTTTTGCTTACTGTTCTTTCAGAGAACCTGGGTTCAATTCACATCATCCACATGATGTCTCACAGAACTCCATTTCCAAGGCGATCTGACACACCCTGCTGGCCTCCACAGGCTCCTGCACACACATGGCACATACAACCTCAGGCAAGCACACACATATACACCTTAAAAATAATAAGCAAATAGGCCTTTTTCTTCATGGATATAATCCAATGTCAAGTTTCAGGTCAGTCCTCTATCTTTGTTTTCTTCAATAATGATAATAATAATGATGATGATTAAAAACCCAAAACAATAATAATATTAAAAACTTCATTGAGAACATTTAAAAATAGGTTCCTGGGCCAGGTGTGGTGGTACACACCTTTAATTCCAGTACTTCAGAGGCAGAGACAGATCTGCATGAGTTGGAGGCCAGCCTGGTCTACATAGCAAATTCCAGGCCAGTCAGGAACTAGAACTCTTACATAGTGAGACCGAGTCTCAAAAAACAGGACAAATGAAGTTGCTATCCTTAGCTCACCTTTACTTTGTATAACTTCATCTAGCTGATATTTTAGTGTCCTATACCAGTGGAATCCCTATTCTATTCAGGTGAACCATGGCTCCCAAACTTTTCGAAAAACCGACTCTAATTGTATATTCCACTCACCTAATTATGCCCCATTCAGCTCTACCTCAGACAAACTAAATTCAAATCCTGATGCATAGTAGTGAGCATTTTTTCTTTTTTAAAACTGTTCCCTTCAAGTGATTCTAATGTGAAGTCAGGCCTAGGAACTTAAAATTAAAAGGACTGGGTACTAGGCTGCCAAGCTAGCCAGCCAAAACCTGATCAATTCCAACTGAATCTACATTTGTGACTCAGTCCTCAGTCTACAAAGCACAATGCCTGGAGAACAGGAAGGTTGACTGGATAGCCTGTGCCAATGAACAGAACAAAACACATAAATAGCCAGGCATGGTGGTATACACCAATAATAGTCCCAGCATTTGGGAGGCAGGAGATTAAGAGTTCAAGTGATTCTCAGCTATATAGTTGGTTCAAGGCCAGGTTGGTCTATTTGAGATTCTGTCTCAAAAACAAATGAAAATAAAGAAGGAAACTTTCATATAAATCATTAAATTAAAAACTGTATGTTTGGTAATGAGAAGACTGAAAAAAGACAGGGTCTCATACAGCTTCCAGTGGCTTCAAACTCCGTGTGTAGCCTAGGATGACTCTGAATTTCTAACCTTCTGCCCCAACCTGAGTGCTGGGATCCCAGGTGTGCACTAAGGATCAAATCCAGGGTTTTATGAATACCAGACAGTCTACCAACTGAGCCACATCCCCAGCACATGAGCAGCTTAAAAAAATTTGCATGCATGCAAGGAGAGCTTGTAGGAGTCAGCTCTATCCTTCCACCAGGTGGGTTCCAACGATCGAACTCGGGTAACAAGCTTGGTGGCAAGCACCTTTACCTATTGAGCCATCTTGCCAGCTCTTGAGAATCTTTTTAAATCATCAATTCTAGCCGCCTTCTCTGGACAGGTAGAACCCCAATTATTATGGCTAGTAGTTAAGACAATAGCCCATAATGACATAACTTGAGTGAATGTCTACACACTGACAGTTCATGGGAAGCCTTGGCTCTGATGTGTTACAGTGAAATGCCTTACCGTAGGAGTAAGAAATGCTAAAACTAAAGTACGCCTTAGGTCCTTAAGGTACGGCCTGGTAATATTTCATGTGTACATCTTTTTAATGCTGTAACTTCACCATTAGGAGTACATGCTAGTGAAGTCTCACTGAGGTTCTTTTCACAACCTAAGCAACTATAGACACCTAGTTAAACATAACCTAGACTATCCATGAACAAAATATTATGTACCCATTTTTTAAAAGATGAAGAAATTAACTAAATCCTGTGTATCTAGGCATAGTAAGGTTCATTTTATTAAAAAATGAATATATCATGGTGGCTACATATACATGTTTACCTATGTTTATATACACACTTTGTTGATACATACAACCATACATCAGTTTTGTTGTAAGGTCAAAAGTAACTTTTTAAAATAATAGAAATAAATGTGTTTTGCGCAATGGTATGATGGTTCACCTATCAAATGAGGTGGTTTAAGAATATGTCTAAAAAACACACATGATTACAAAATAATGCTTCAATTAAAAGTATCATGAAAAGACAGACTGAGCAACAGCTCTGGACTGGGGGGTAGGGTAGGAGGCTAAAAAATAATCCCAGCAACTAGTGAAGCAGAGGCAGGAGGATCCATGTTTGAAGTCAGCCTGACCCATTGCCTTAAGGAGCAAAAAAAAAAAAAAAGCAATACACAATAGCCAAATATTATGAGTGTGGCACTTTGCTAAGGAAACAAGGCAGAGATCCCGTCCTCAAGGGCCTTACATTATAGCTCAAGCGGGCAGGTTTAACGCCACCCAATAACAGCAAAGCTAAAGGAATGGTAAGGGGCACACAAAATGTACACTTAACCTTGAGGTGGAAGCTAGGGGACATCCTGGAAAAGGCAAAGCGATTTTAGCAGGCTGAGGTTGGTTCTGGAAAAGGGGCAACACAAGGAGAGAAACTGGATACAGTATTTTCTGGACCAAAAGAAACACCCCTGACCTCCAAAACCCAATCTGTAGTATTACGACATGTCAACCGGAACATCAGCTCTGCCCAGTGAGAGGCTGGATTGACATTCTAGCCATTCTGTGGCTTTCCAGGGCCCCCTACAGCTGCCCTTCCTAGAAGGGCAGAGTGCACGCCCCGTAGGAGGGCGGTGGGCAGTGTCAAGGTGGAGTACTACTAGGGGGAGGCCACGGTGCAGGCCCAGGGCAGACCTGAGATGGGGGGTGGGGAACCCACAAAGTGTCCACTTGGATAGGGGTGGGGGAACCCACAAAGTATCCAGTTGGATGGGGGTGGGGAACCCACAAAGTGCTCACTTGGAAGGGGCACAGGGAACCCACAAAATGCCCATTTGGAAAGGGGGTGGGGGAACCCACAAAGTGCCCACTTGGGTGGGTGGGGAACCCACAAAGTGCCCACTTGGGTGGGTGGGGAACCCACAAAGTGCCCACTTGGAAGAGGAGTGGGGAACCCACAAAGTGCCCACTTGGAAGGGGGATGGGAACTCACACAGTGTCCACTTGGAAGAGGAGTGGGGAACCCATAAAGTGCCCACTTGGAAGGGGGATGGGGAACCCACAAAGTGCCCACTTGGAAGAGGAGTGGGGAACCCACAAAGTGCCCACTTGGAAGGGGGGTGGGGGAACCCACAGAGTGTCCACTTAGGTGGGGGGACCCACAAAGTGCCCACTTGGAAGGGGGGTGGGGAACCTACAAAGTGCCCATTTGGAAGAGGGGTGGAGGAACCCACAGCGTCCACTTAGGTGGGGAGTAGGGGAACTCACAAAGTGCCCATGTGGAAGGGGAGTGGGGACCCCACAAAGTGCCCACTTAGATGGGGGGTGGGGAACCTACAAAGTGCCCACGTCCAGGGGCGTCTGTCGACTACGGCTGAGAGCCGCTCCCCGATGCATCGAACGAGGTGACAGCCCCGCGGCGCCCACCGGGCTCCAGGAGGGGACGGCCCCTCGGGGACCCAGGCGCTGAAGAGGCGCCGGCCGCCGAGGACGCGCTCCAGGACTCGGTCGGAGCCCAGCGGCGGCCGGGGGATGCCGGCTGTGGAGGCAGCTGTGGGCAGGGACCCGGAAGGCCCGGCGTCCACTCACCGCTGCTGCTGGTGAAGTAGAACACCATGATCCTGCCGGAGGAGCGGCGACACCTGCTCAAATCAAGAAGCTCAGGGGAGCACCAGCGCGGCGGCAGCCTACTTCCTGGAACTCCTCCGCGCACTTCCGGCGGACGCAGAGTCGCGTCACAACACTGTCGGGCGGCGCCATCTTTAATCCTGGCAAGGCGAGGGTATTGGCCAAGGGACTTTGAGGGTTGAACTCAAACCACTGGTGGTAGGTAATACCACTGCATCTTTTTTCTGTTCTTTTGTTTTAATTTCATTTATTTATTTTTTTATTCATTTATTTATTTATTCATTCATTCATTCAGGTCTCCCTGTAGCCCCAGCTGGCTTGGAACTCACTATATAGACCAGGCTGGCCTTGAACCCCCAGAGATCCACCTGCCTCTGCCTCCACAGTGCTGGAACTAAAGGCATGCACCACCACACCCGGCTGCCATGGCATCTTACTTGAAGCCATTAAAAAAAAAAAAAAAAGGCGTGGGCATACCTTATTTTCAGAGTGGGAAGTCGTGACTTCCGGGTCCTAGAGTGCGGAAATTCAGCTTTTGTTATAGATCGGTGTCCCTGGGCTCTGCACTGCTCTAGGTTCTCAGTGGGAGTCCATTAAAATTTAAATGGCCTCACATTCTCCTATTATTTGGCAAAGTTTTCCTTCTTTCTTTCTTTCTTTTTTTTTTTTTTAACTAAGCCCTCAGAATCTTTTACTGACCCTTTCTTATAAAATCTAGTTTTAGCAAAGACCACTGCTTAGTTTAGCCAGAAATGCCGCTCCTTCCCACATCTTCGCTATCTGGTCAGGTTCCCCATCCTCTTGATTTCTGTTCATCCTGGGATGTCTTCAAGAACCCTATTAGGTCAGGTTAACCATGATGCTCCTTCTATATTCTCAGTGATTTTCTATCCACTGAATACTCTACGCCGTGTATAAAAAAAAATTTCTTGCCCATCTTGTATTTGAAATTGAACCCAATTTCTCCCCACTGCTATAAAACTTCTATTGTAAAATGTCTGAATAAATGCTTACTTGCCTAGTAAAATTTAATAATTTTTTCCTTGAACATATTTTTGCTCAAGCATCATTGTTTGTACATTACCCTCTTTGGGTTTCAGTTCATCTGCCCAATGAATTTGAAAATACAGTGTCAAACTCGGGGTATTTTGCTATGGTTAAATAAGTTAATATGCATCAAGAGTAGAATATAGATCGTACTCAACATGAGGTGGCACTTATATTCTCTAGAGTCAGTATGCTTACTGGGGTTTGGATTCAGATGGTTGTTCTTTTACATCCAAGGTCCCACCATCTATTACCTACAGAACTGGGCACATTCCAAATGTCTGAACGTCAGAGGTCCACTTGCTATAAATTCACATAATGCTCCCCCAGCACTTAGGTTTGACTTATTTTTCTTATTTCTGATAAAAATTATGAAGATCCATTTTTGGACTGAATTCCTCCAGTACTCCCTCAGAGGTCAAACCCAAGCCAAACGGAGTCACTCTGGCTAAATGTCACATAAATTGAAACTTTAAGATCCCTAGGCAGTCCAGTCATTCCTAAAAACAGGAAATTCCGATCTAGCTGAATCTACATGATAAAGAAGCTATTAGCTGTAATCTGGCGTAAACCAGATTTCCCCTATTGATTTGTTTCTTTCCATTTACTTTACAGAACCCACTATCACCCTGCCCATAATGGTACTGGCCAGGAGTCTCAGCTCTAGGTCAGTTTGGAATAGTGAGACCCTAGTCTTAAAGTCACCTCCCTTAACATCACCACCACCACCATCACCAACACACACACACACACAGGCTCATGTATTCTGCCGTTGCCCAATGGGAGCTTTCATTTTATCTTGTAACATAGAAACTGAACCATTCATGATTCACGAAAACAGCCAATACCTATAACTAAATTTGTGTTCGTCTTTTGACACTTCATTCTGGTCAACTTCATTCTATGAAGTTAACTACATCACTTAAGTTTATTTAGAACTAAAAATGTGTCCGAGACCACTAGGTGCTATTAACACCAAAACAATACTACTTAACAGCCTATGAGTGCTGAGAATACTTCTGTTTGCTAAAGGCCACGTGATAAGAGCAGCGCTGGGTGGGTGTCACAGGCCTGTCCCATAAATAGCTATTGTTTTTCAGGCCTTCTGTTTTATTTTTTGCAACATAGGAATAATAGTTTATAGATAGTGGTGAGGAGCTAAGTGAAATAAAATACTTAAATATATAAGAATGCTTAGAACTTAACAAATGTTCATGCTCTGATTTGATTTGAAGAGAAAAAAGTGAAATGGGAATTTAAAGAATTACTAATTTAAAAAAAAGAGATCAATAGTCAAACTTCAAATATGAAAAATAAGTGTGTCTCTCCAGAAGCTTAGAGAGATTACATAAGCAACTGCGTCAACCTCAGAATGTGACCTCCGGAGCAGCTGGCCTGCGAACTACAATTCCCAGAATGCACCTCAACGACACCCGGAAACTGCAGCCCTTCCTTGCTGAGGCAAAGGTCTAGAGGAGGCGAGGTTTTCCTCAGGAGAACTATGTTTGCCCCACAGGGCGGGAGACTCTCGGCGCCCCTCTCCTGGGTGGGCGGGGAAAGGACTAGCGACGGATCAATCACTGAGCCAGCTTCGGGAAGCGCAGCACAGCAGCCAATCGGAACGCAGCAGAGTTGGCCTCGGGTGGCGCGCGTGAATTTGAACACACCGGCGGAGCACTGGCTCTTCAGTGAGCGCTGGAGCGCTGTGGGCGGACAGCTGTTCTGTGTCCGCCGGCGGGAGTGGACACCGAGTGCGGGTGGCCGAGGAGCGCGCGGTAAAGTCCGGGGGGTAAAGCCCGGGGGGATGGGGTGCGCCTTCGCCATGGGTTCGGGCCGCCGGCTTTCCGCTCTTGGGCCCGCTCACCTCGCGCCTCCCTGTCCCAGGACTTGGTCTCCTCACACCGGGTTCCCCTCACGCCGGGCTCGGTCCCCTGACGTCAGTGGCCCCCAGAAGTCCACAGACCCCGGGTTCTGGTGGCTTTGAAGTCAGACGTGTGGAATTGCGCGGGACGGACGTGCGGGATCCTGAGTAAGAGAAGAAGGGAGGGAACTTCCCAGCAATAACTGCGGAAAGACGGACGCACCCCTAGTGCTCCCCTGCTCGGTGCAGTGCTATCTCGGTGCTCCCCTGCTCGGTGCACCCCTGCTCGGTGCAGTGCTCTCTATCTCGATGCTCCCCTGCTCGGTGCAGTGCTCTTGCTCGGTACTCCCCGAGCGGCGCCACCGCGCATCTAAGGCTGTCAGACGGTCTGGAGGCGCGCGGCCTTCGGAGGCTCCTGGGCGCGCTCCTTCGCAGGCTTCCCCGCAGAATTCTCCAGAAGGTCTCACGGGTGCTGACGGCCTGCGGGGAACGAGCAGGAGGGACGGCTCCGGAGCCGGTTGAGGGAGCCCACGGGGAGGGTGCAGGGCGGGTGCGGGTGCGGGGCGCCTGAGCCGCAGGACCGCCTCAGCCCAGTCCGTTCACAGGCGTCCACCCGGCGTGCCCGCAGCCAGGCCAGCCGAGGTGGTCCCCGGTCCCCATCCCCCTCCCTCTCCTCTCCTTTCATTCTCTCCTTTTTCCTCGCTCTCCTTCCCTCTCTTCTCTCTCTCACCTCTCCTTCCCTCTCCCTCTCTCCCTCTCCTCCCTCCTTCCCTCCCCACCCCATGTCTCTCCCCCCTTCCTCCCTCC